TTTTTTTTTTTGTAGAATTCTGAGGCCTGCATATATGTGTGTTTATAGAAGAAGTTACTCTTAAGGGAGGGATGTTTTTAGGAAAAGATGGTTTTAAATAATTTAAAGTAAAACACAGTTAAAGCTAAAAGTAAAATTCAGCTATTTTGAATAGTGTATGTGTTAAAAATTTAAGTTGATTTATTGTAACAATTGACAGTTTTTCAAAACTGATTTTTCAAACTGGTCTTGACCATATGATTTATTAGTTGAATTGTTTTCGCAATATATATAAGCTGTACCTTGTTAATAAGCCATTACATCTTGTAAACATTTCTCTTTAGGCACTCATTTTATTTGCAGTGGCAAAACCCACTTAAATATGAGTGATGGACTCATTTACTCTTTTTCCTGTGGCGTAAAAGAATCTTTGCTGTTTCTTTAGTAACAGTGCAAGATTGGCATATTAAAAGTGGTGATTGTACTTTTTCATCTGCTTTGAATTTTTTTTTAATAGATGAATGATACAGAAAATTCTATTGAATGCACATTTCTGTCTTTTAAAGGTATCTTTATGCTCCTTCTGAGTTTTTCATTTCTTATCTTGTAAATTCTAGGTCCATATCATCATTCCACTGTGGAAAAGATTCCATTGACTAAAGTGGGTCGATGTATTTACAGAGTGAGACACGAGGAATCAGGTGTTGAAAGGTCCATTGTCTGCCAAATTGATACTGTTGAAGGAAGCAAGATGATAACTATACGTTCTCCTGTTCAGGTTATTATACTTCCATACATTATAATTTCATTATTACTTTAATTTTTTAATGAAAATGATCCTATAGTCTTTAAATAAACATTTTAAAAAAACATGGTTTAAAAACTTATCTGAACAATTCATATAACTTTGCTGTTGTGTATTATAAGGTAGTTTAGAAGAGATTTTCAAGAATAAAAAGCTTTTTCAAAGTGCCAAAGACAGGGAGTGGGGTGGGGGTGTAAATAGACCAGTTTTTAGATCAGGGTAGTTCATCAGTAATGTTTTTTAATACTAGCTCTAATTTCAGTCTTGTTTAACTTTTTGCTTTGTATGATCAAACCTCTCTTAACCTTACCTTGGTTCCACAAGGTTATCCTTCTATCGGATTATCTCTTTTTCTTCATCCTATACATTGATACATGAATTTCAAATTTAGTACCAAGTCAGCTGAAGAGTGACCCTTTGAGCATGTATCTTTTTTGATTGAATAGTATTTTTGATAGACATTATATAGTTTACAAGTACAGGGATGGTCCGGATACTAGGGTTCTATAGTGATAGTGCCCCTGCTACATTTCACTTGCTGCTTTTGCCCAGAGTGGTTTATGACTTGGTTAATAACCAGATTTATTATTTTATTCTTCCCTAAATTATTTTTTTTTTCCCCAGACCTAATAATGTCATTAAATTAACCCTGAAATTAAAAAATAATGTTTGCAAAGAACAAGAGAACTATATACCCTCCAAATTATCATGGGCGTTGATGGTTTAACCTTAAACAAATGTTTGACTTCCCTTGTGTTTTCTGCCATATGGATTTCGACCCACACACCCTTGTATCTGTTACATTTTTAGGAGAAAGTTCTTTGGAAAATTATTATATAGTTCAGATTTACTTGTCTGTGGTTTTACAGGGCTTTATGTTTCTCCTTTACAGCTAATGTACTAATTTCATAATTAAAATATAGCATTAAACTGCACAACCAAATCATTTAAGGAGATTTGCTGGTATTAGAGACAGTTCTTTTGAAATACCTGACCATGAATGGTAAATGGGTAAGGTGAACAATGAGAGAGTTCTCACACTCTGCTCTATTAGGCTCAAAACACTTTTATCGTTCCAGTTTTTCCTAATGTATGTTGCTGGATTTTTATTTCACATAGATGAGGAATCATTTTTCAATCCCGTTAAATATTTTTGAGGAAGGAAGATGTTTAGGGACTGCTTCACCAGAAAATGAATTCAACATACCATTGTCCTCTTACAGGTACTTTATTGCATTGTTCTTTTATCATGGAATATGTTTATACATCGTTGATAATTGTGTCCATACAATTATGCTAAAAAACCAAATTTTTTTCCGTTTGCTACCTAATACTTTAATTAATACTGCACTGTTATTGTTGGGTAGGATCTTCTCAGAGCATCTAGTCTGAGTTAAAACAGAATACTATTTAAGTCTTGAATTGGAAGTCTTTTGAAATCCATTTTACTGAACTTAAATTAGCTAAGTTACTTGAAGAATCCGAGCCCAAGTACTTCTGGAACACAGTAATTGTTATCCACACAGTACAGACTTTTTTTCTTAGTGGAGTTATGTCTAGTGATGTATTACAGCTTTTTTTTTTTAAAAAGGCTTCTTTTGATTTTTGTGATTCTGAAGTAAAAAATTGAAACTAATACATTTAGACCCTATCACAGATGTAGAAAAAGACTTGTCAACCTTAGAAAGACTTGGCTTCCAGCAAAATTATGCTATTAGCACCTTCAAGCTAATACCCACTTAAAACTGTAGTGAGTTTATATGTACAATTTAGCTGAACTGTCACCAGCTTTTAGGCAGATAAGTTTGTTTTGATTGCTTTTTATGATTACAGAGATTTTTTTCCTTCTGTTTTCCCCCAAACACTCTCCCCATTTTTTTTTAAGATGACAGCTGTATATCTTTTTCGTTAAATAAGTTACACTTACTGTAGATAATGTAAGTTCATTAATATTTCTAACTATCTGTATTTTATTTAATAAGATTTACTGACATTTTGATTCATTGCACAGATACATGGGTGAGTTCTACTAGGCAGTCAGGAAATGTTTACTAACAAAGATCTTCAGTCAAAGAGCAACTGATTGGATTAAAGCAGTTGCCTTACAAAAGCCATGTGTGTAAATAATCCATAAAGCTTTATGTGATTGGAAAGAAGGGCACTTTCTGCAGGTCTGTCATAGGAGTGAATTGTTTATCCAGAGCTTTTGTTTGGAACAGGAATATAGCAGCACTTCTAAGGGAATTCAGTAGCCTCTTCATAAGAATCTCCAACAGTCCCTTCTTTGCAAGGAAAGTATGCAGAGGTATGGAACAAAAAACCCCAACTGGTACAATTCCATGAACTTTTGGGATCCAGACTACCTTTTGCTTCCTCCTTTAAGCAAGATAAAGGCAGGCAATGAATTACTGTCAGAAATCTTCCAAAATCCAAATAATACTAGAATGTTAGTGTTGCATAGTACTTTTTCATAATTGAAAAATTAAATCTCATACTGAGTGTTTAAAAAATGTTTTCATTTACAGATCCATACTGAGTTTGCAACCACTAGCCAATGAAAATGGAGTGGATGGAGAATTTGATATGTGTGAAGGAATTACATTTGATGAAATTATGAAAAATGTTGACAGTTTATTACAAAGGAAATGCCAGTCTGTGAAGTCAACTAACCACTCACTTATCATCAATATTGTTCCTGTAAAAGACACGTTGACATCTTCATTATGTGCAGAAGATCAATGGGATTTTCCATATGTTGTTCACTTATGGCCGCCTGTTCTTCTCCGCAATCTTCTTCCTTATCAAATAACTTACTCTGTAGAGGTAATTCTTTAATATTTATATTCTTTGTGGTGTTTCCTACCTATGATATGAAAGTTGACCAGCTGGCTAGTCCATTTATAAATGGACATTAAAATGGGCTTCTGTTAGAGTATTTGTGAAGCAAGTTTACACATCTTGTAAGGGCAAGTCTGTATCTACAGAAGTGAAACAGTACCAGAATGTGAAAAGTGGTTGTATTAATCATTAGTAATACGTCATACTTTAGATACATATGCAAAGTAAAACTTACACTGTACAGGTTTAGCCCTGTGAGAAAGTCACTTTCTGTTGCTCCAGTGCAGCTTGAGCCTAATTAAACAGTGTAGTTTTTCCTGTGAATTATGACTGCCTGAAGCAACATAAATGGGTAAGCCTGCAGTAGCATTTTATGTAATGTCACTGTCACTGACTTTTAGCGGTAGCATGCTATTAATGAATTCTCACAGGCCTGCTTTTTTGCCAGGTTTTGGCTTGAATTGCAGCCTAGTGCCAGACTTTACATTATTTTCAGATGAAATTAAATGTTTAGGTGCACTTTGGCTGTTAATAGGCATTCATTCCAGGGCCAGATGAGAGCCAGTCTCAAGTAAAACACCTAAAACTTGTACAATGTGGACATTGGTTCCTCAGCACTAAATGTTTCATTCTGTGGATCTGCTATGGTTGTGTCTCACTGCTTACTGATATAGACTTAAGATAATAGAGATAACGATGGGAGACACTGAATCATTTTTTTCCAGATGGTCTTAATATTTAGTATTTGGACTCAAATAGTAGAATTTAATCATAAAATTTTGTCGTAAATGCACAGTTACTAGAGCTAGAGACTGTGGCCTCTACCAAATTTATGGAAGTAATAGGCTCTTTTCTGTATGTCTTTTACAAATTTAAATTCAGTGAAAAAAATACTGAGTTGGGGAAATCTGTCATTTAAGCATGTTTATGTATTTGAATTTGGTGACAGATTTTTTTGGTGTTACATAGTGATGACCATGCATAGATTTTTTTTCTGTAAAATGTTGTATTGAGGTAGATGTTTAAGAATGAAACATGGTTAAATAGCATAATAAGCGTTTTAAAATTTTGCCTAACTTGTATCTTAATTTTTCTTAATTTTCAAAGCTAGCTAGAAAATAAAAGTTGATATGAATTTTGAGTGTGACTCATGGAAATGTACACTGTTTGGTTTTTTTAAAGGGAAATGGGAACAAATATGACACTCTACAAGAAGGATGTTCAGCCCAGATTCATAATGCAGTCTTGGATCAAACAAAACTAGATTTACAGTTGCTTAACTATCTTGATCAAAACTGGAAAAGTGAGTACCATATAAAAAGCAATCTACCAGATATCAGCTTCACGACATTTTACTGCATCACGGAGTTGGATAAGACTGAACTGGATATTGCTGTCCATGTGACCTACACAACTGGGCAGGTGGTTATAGCAATTCACAGTCCGTACTGGATGGTAAATAAAACCGGTCGAATGTTGCAATACAAAGCTGATGGTATTCACCGCAAGCATCCTCCGGATTACAAAAAGCCGCTCCTTTTTTCTTTCCAGCCCAAAAACTTCCTCCAAAATAACAAGGTATTGTATTTTGTAAATACTATACTCCCCGTGTTGTCATATGAAAACTTCGTATGATAACTTTGAAAGTTATCTACACTATGCTATGCTTTGCAAAGAGCATGAAACCTACGATACCTCTGTCTAAAGACAGAGTATTTTAAGTGTGTTGTCAGATATGCTTGAGATGGGAAATTTACATTATCAAAGGTATTGTTAAGAAAGAGATTCTCATCTTTGAGAGGGATAAAACTTACTGAGAAGTGTTTCCTAAATGAAAGAATTTCCTTTATTCCATTTAAACTGCATCAATAAAGGTCCTTATTCTAAATAAGACATAGGAATTGTATAAGAAATGTAAAGCTGTGGTACTTGAAAAACGAATGCTACTTGAAAAATGAATGCTTGCAGTGGTGGTTGGTAGATTGGGTCTGAGTTGGTAGTAAGTTAAGGTTAAGGTGCAGTTTACCGTTTGAGTCTGCTATGTGAGTTTTTTAATGCTGAATGTTACTGATGGATGAATGATATGAGAGAGGTCACAAGTCTGTGTTGATTTGCCTTTGAGATTTTAATTGTGGTGTGTTTTGGAAGGGATCTTTATGTGGTTGCTATCTCTGGAGTATCTTACACTTACAATGCTTATTCCACATAGCTTATAACTAAGGGTGGGAGAAAATAGCTTTGTGAGATAATACTGGGAATTGTTATGTCTTGACTCTTAATAGAAACACCAGTATTTCCAGTATGCACTTATGTTTATATATATACATACTTCATATATTATTTTAAATGTTGTTGGTGTCTGTAAGTTGGAAATTAATTCAAGGTCCTTCTTCATAGGTGCAGCTTATGGTAACTGACAGTGAACTGTCTGATCAGTTTTCACTGGACACTGTTGGAAGTCATGGTTCTGTGAAATGCAAGAGTCATAAAAAGGAATATCAAGTGAGTTAAATTTATCTTTCAAATTCATTACTTTCAGGAGATATAAATGAGGTAAGAAAAGAACAGTGTACTTCTAACAATGTCTTTCTATTCACAGGTCGGTGTCACCATAAACAACAGCAGTTTTAATATTACTAGAATTGTAACTTTCACTCCATTTTTTATGATCTCAAATAGAAGCAAATACACTTTGGAAGTAGCTGAAGAGGGCAAGGAAAAGTGGATTCCTATTGTTTTGCAACAGGTAAACTTATAAAGGAAGCTATTCCGAGTTGTTTCTCTAAGGAAAAAAAAAAATTGGTTTGAACACTCACTGATGGAAAACATGAGCCATGCATAGTGTTCAATGACAATGTCTGAATATATCGCGCTTTTTCAGTAAATTATCTGTGTCCTGTTACCTTTTCTCAGTGTTGCTTTAGGACATATTGTAAAGCTGGTTTACATTGTAATTGGAATGTTTTCTCTGTTACCTGCATCATAAATAGTATGACAAAAAGACTTGTACTGTTGCTATATTATCTCTCTCTGCAGTGGCACTGAAACTTCTGTTCAGTTATTGCAGTGGTAATCTGGTAAGAGTGGTTTGGCTGACCTGGTACATGTCATGCGACTTTCATACAGGAAGAAAAGCCCTCATGTGGATCAGTTCAGATAGCTTCAAACTGTTCTTCTGGGACTAGTCTCACTGCTGGTTTTGAGTGCTTAACGCAACATTTCTGGAGAGGCATCACTGGCCCCCACGCTAAGTGGTGTGGAAATGGCTTCTGGGCTTTTGTCTATGCTGCAGAGGTCTAGACTGTTGCAGACTGGGCATACAGCTTGGCTGTTTGCACTGTAGTACCCCACAATTACGTTTTGTGTGTGTTTTCCGGCCATCATGCCTTCCTTCAGGACATGTAGGAAAAGCAACATGTAGTGTTAGAGGTCTGTGAAAGCTGAAAGTGATCCATACTGCCTTCTGGGAAAAGTGAAATCTTCCTCCTTCCCTTCTAGTGAGTCTTGAGGAGAGCAAGAGAGCATATCCAAAACACAGACAGAGTTTAGCCTAACTAATAGTGCAGTTGGAGGCCCTCTCGCTTTTCTTTAGCATTGTAGATACTCCAAATGGTTACCAAAAATGCTTGCAAACTAAAATACCAAAGTTAAAAGAATATTTGAAATCAGATTTGTAACCAGATCTTTTTGTTACATTTTTGGTATCTTAAACACATGCCCCTTAAGTGTGCATTTTATCTTTAATGATTATGGAAGAGAAATACCATTTAAATACCATTATCTCAATTTATTAAATTGATACTACTTTGCTTGCTTTTTGTTGTCATTGTTCCATTGTGATTTTTGCTAAGTGTACACAATGATATTTGGATCTTTAAGTGTTTAAGTCAGTTTAGCTTCCCATAATGCTTATCATTATTTTCAAAAAAGTTTCTTTGCTTTTATTCAAGAATAGGCTGTTTTCCATAAGCCTTCACGTTTGTTCTATTTCCTAATATTCTTATGTTCCTCTGAACCAAACTTTTGTTTGATTCTACATAGTTTTTGGGTTCTTATATGCGTGATTCCTCATCTAGTTCATTGATAAGCTCTGAAATGACAAAGGTTCGTATGTAGTGGCATGGGCCACTTGATATCTAATTTCTTACTGTGAGAAAATATAGTCAGATTTTATTAATTCTTGGTGTTTTGTGGTTTATATTTGATATAGAGTTGTTATTAGAATAAATTGAATTATTTTACAGGAACTTTTGAAATTTTCTGCAAAAAATATTCAAAGGTAATATTTTTGAAAGTTCAAATACATTGCTACATATATAATCTGTGGTTTTCCTGTATTGGCTGTTTTATTGATATGCTTACAGAATTTTCTGGCTTGTCCCACAGACATCATTGTTTTTCAGGTGTTTCAGGTATTAATTAATCGTAGTCTCCTATCAGTTATCAAGTATCAAAGGAGGAATTTGTAGATTTTAGGATCGCTCCTAATATCTTTTGAAAGATGATATGGCAGTTTATCAAATGGAATAGTAGAGATCAACAGAGGAATCTGTATCCCCTCCTAAATTGTTCCAAAATTCACTCCTGTCGTGGTTTAACCCCAGTCAGCCACTGAGCACCACACAGCTGTTCGCTCACTCCCCCCACAATGGGATGGGGAAGAGAATCAGAAGGGTAAAAGTGAGAAAACTTATGGGTTGGGATAAGGACAGTTTAATAGGTAAAGCAAAAGCCACGCACGCAAGCAAAGCAAAACAAGGAATTCATTCACTACTTCCCATCGGCAGGCAGGTGTTCAGCCATCTCCAGGAAAGCAGGGCTCCATCATGCGTAACGGTTACTTGGGAAGACAAACACCATCACTCCAAACATCCCCCCCTTCTTCTTCTTGGCCCAGCGATATAGGCTGAGCATGACGTCATATGGTATGGAATAGCCCATTGGCCAGTTGGGCCAGCCATCCTGGCCACGCTCCCTCCCAGCCCCCCATGCACCTGGAAGGGCACGGGAAGATGAAAAATCCCTGACTAGCGTAAACATTACTTGGCCAGAACTAAAACATCAGTGTGTTATCAACATTATTCTCATACTACATCCAAAACACAGCACTATACCTGTTGTAGGAAGAAAATCAACTCCATCCCAGCCGAAACCAGGACAACTCCCAAAATTGCTTGCCTTTCCAGATTGTGTCAGTATTTTCCCTTTTGATAAGCAGTCTCTAAAAATCTGGCTTGTGACAGTTAAGTCTGCCAAGGTGGTTCATTTGTAACCCAGTTGCTCAATCCAGTATGTTTCTTATCTCTTCTAAATCTTCTAAATCTAGGTAGAGTCCAGCCACTATTAGTCTATCTTTGGGCATCCAGGATAGATTTCCAAGAACAAGTTCCTATCAGATCCTGTTCTTGAGATATGAAACTCTGCTATCTAGCTAACCTAGTTGTTTTTTTTTTTTAATTAATGCCTGTGATTTTTTTGAGTACTTCTCACTTCACTCTTTTACATTAGGTTGATCTTCAAAAAAACAACAAGCTTGCTGAAATGTTAATTCATATCTCAGCTTGCTCTCCTCTCCCTCCATTCTATTTTTGTCATTTTAAGTTAAGCAGAGTCCTTTCTGCTGCTTTTCTTTTTTTATCCACTCTTCTTCCTTAGTGACTAGATAGACTATCTTCTTAGAGAAAAACAATCCTTGCGTAGAACCCATGTCCTCTTGGATGTGTTCCCTGTCTGGAAAGCAGTCAATCTATCAGAGACTTGAATTACTATTTTTAGAAAAATCCATTGTTATTCAAAGGTTGTAGTAGAAGTTGTTGGACAGTGATTAGTATGAAATGGTTTGCCAAGGACAGTCCTTCGAATTAGGTGTAGCACAAGACAGTTGACCAACATGCATCCGTAGAGAAAGAAGGACAGAAAACATTGCTGAAGACTGTACATGAGACCACTGCTAAATATAAATTAAAGATCCTATTATGGAATGGAGATTGTTGTATAAATACAATACCTAGAGAAGCACTTAGCAAGCGTGTGGCAAAACATTTGGAAACAGCATCATTTTGTGACACATTCTGTGGCTAAAGACTATTGCAAAAATTCATTTTTCAGTTCTCTGTGGTTGAGTCTGTAACTTTTGTTTAGCCAGTCTTTTTTACTTATTTTGGTTTTGATTTCAAACTTTCATTTACTGTTGACGGATTCTCCTTGAATTTCCTTTGAGCTCTCTTAATTTCCATGTTGAGACTTACTTGCTGTGTTTTATGCTAGTTTACAACACAACTCAAATTTCCTTTGTCTGTAGGATACATGTTGATGTAGATAACACCTTCAATCTTGCTGTTTAACTATATTTTTTTCCTTTGTCTTCCTGCTTCCTGTGGTGTGAGAAACAATGGGAAAGGGAACTTAGTGGCATGGTAAGTTGGTGAACTAGTCTTTCACCATCGAAGATGTAATTCTAGGATTCAGACGCAGTTAAATATAAACATCTCGTTTCTTAACCTATGTTGGAGCAAGATGCTCTTGAAGTTTTGGATGTTGCAGGTGAACAGTTTGAAATACAGGAAAACTAGTCTAACTAGACAGACTTTGGCTCTTGCTGCTTGAAAGTTATTGTTAACTGTAGTTTGTTCCTGTGGCAGGACTCTCTTAATTAGTTGGAAGCTTTTCATTAGTTACTTTTGTCTTCCCTGCCTCCCTGTCTTACCCATTTGGTGTGTAAACTGTTGAAGAGAGATTGTGGGATTTTTAAGCCCAGATGTAATTTCAGTTGTGGCTTTGAACAGCAGAACATGCTGTCTGATTTAGCTGCCTAATGCTTCATATTTTATTTATATATGTTTTATACCCATATATATGTGTGTGTATATATGTGTATATGTATTTTTTTACATATATATATATAAAAAAAAATGAAGTATTTCAAAAGAACAGTTAGTATGCTGATGTCCTGTGTACTGAAGTTACTATGGAGTGTATTTATGCTAATATCCCTTTTTGTCATTGATTGTCACTACAAGATTGATTTTTAATTTATACTTATTTGGCAAGAGGTCTGTTAATGGAAGAACAGTTTTGTCAATTTTTTGGGAGGTTTTGGGGGGTTTGGTTTTGTTTGGTTTTTTGTTTGTTTGGGGTTTTTTGTTTTGTTTCCTTTTTTTTTTTTTTAAATTTTTGTTGTTGTAACAAGCATGGCCATTTTGGTGTTGTAGCCATGCTCAGCTTTATACTCTGGATTTCATATACATTATCCTTTTTAAATCTACTTCTTCATGTGAATATGAAGTCTTAGTCTTTTCACTTTTAGCTCCTTAACTCCTTCGTTTGTTCACTGTAATCTGAATTATTTCTGACTTCCTTTCAATTTGTTGTGTTCAGGTAAGTAATTACTTTTAGGTTTTTTAGTAGAGTTTCTGATCCAACTTGCTACACTTTTGGGTGGAATTTTAGTACATGAACTTTGGGCTAAAGTGAATGCCATCTAACATCTAGTTTGTTTTCTCACTTACTTTAGAATATCTGTTTTGTTTTTTTTTTTCTAGTGCATTCCCTTTTGGCCTGAAAATGATGCCAACAAACTGCTTGTTAGAGTTGAAAATTCTGATCTCCCTCCAAAGAAGATAAATTTTGATAAGCAAGAAAACTGTCTGCTACTGCATTTGGACAACAAGGTAAATGGTTGCCTTCGGAATTTAGGTAAAACAACGTAAGTAACTGTTTCATTTCCATTCTCAAAACTTTCTGTCTTCCCATGCAATCAAGTATTGCAAAACCTCATCAGGGGAAAAGATTATGTATATGCAAGTGTATTATTCTCATTCTCATGCTCTCGCTTTCCTCTATTTGTGCACACAGGTATAAGTAGGTGTTTCGTTTTAAGTACTTCTCTGCGAAGCAGATCTATAGAAGCTGAAACAGAGATTGTTTTGCTAGTGTTCTCTAGCTGAGGCCGAGAAGTATTTATATTAGTTCTAAAGTAACACTAAGTTACTTTGAAAAGTAACTTCAACTCCACTAAATTTACTTCTGTGTTGCATATAGTCTCATCTAGCAGTGGTTTTTAAATATATGAGTGTTTTTAATAATAGAATGTTTTGGAGGGCATTAATGCATATGAGTAGTTCAAGGAAGATTCCTCTACTACCAACCTAAATTTTGACAGTACAGAACTCCTCCATAATTTTGATTACTAAGTGCATTGCCTGTTACCTAGTAGTTAGATCAGGGAGATATTTTAAAGATATGTTAAAACAGGTTGGTTGTTTGACTATTTGATGGTTTTATCTTATGAAAGTAAAAGTTTTCAAAAATATTTAAATTACATTTGCTTTACTAGAAATTCATTCCACTGTTATTTACTTTATAATTTTTACATCTTATAGCTTGGAGGAATTACAGTGGATGTTAACCTGACTGAACATTCTACAGTGATTACCTTTTCTAATTACCATGATGGTGCAGCTCCATTTCTGTTGATAAACCATACTAAGGAGGAAATTATTGAGTATGGGCAAAGGTATGTAAGAAGAGTTTTAGTGTGGTTATCAGCATGGAGACATGTGAACTGTTATTTCATGTATTGTAAGCATGCCTATTTCTTAAGAAGCCTATTTTTTAAGAAATGGCTGTCTAATTTTGTCAGAGCACCCAAAAATCTCTTGTTTTATAAATTGAAGAGAATGAATTGTTAACAGAGCAGTGTTACATAGTGCTAGGTGCCTGTTTCTACAAGTAAGGAACCTGTTTTGTGAGCTAAAGAAGCTCTCTGGTCTCTTTTTATATGAATTTTGTGGCCTTGTCCTCTACATTCCTTTACATTCCTGGTGGAGGCAAAGGCTGTGCTTGGCTTTTCTGGAACCGTGCAGGTGCTGACTGTGCAGAATAAGTAACAAATGAGTCGTAAATGTAATTAGATTTGAGACTTTTACTGTTCTATCATGTTTGGTTGAGATTTAGCTGAAAGAATGGGTTAAAAAGTTACGGGAGAGTTGAGGGAATGGTCTGAAAAATGCGTAGTAGTTACATAAATTTTGTCATGCCAGACCAAAACTAAGATTATTTTACAAATATGAATTATCTGTAATCAGTGAAAATTTGGTTCTGCACCTGCACGCAGCTATACTGGTTCTGTTCTCAAGCTGGAATGTCTTTGTAATGCTTTGCTACTGCATGCATTACACATACTGTGCAGTGCTGAGAAGTGTAAGCATATCTACAGCATTCTTGACCTGTTTCTTTTTAAAAGCCAAACAGCCTTTACCATTTTTTCCTTCCAGCCAATCAGAGCAGTGTTGTTTAAAGATTTTTACTTGAAAAGTGGAAGAGCTGGTAGTCAAATTAAGCTTGCAGCTGTATGTTCCTGTTTGTCTGAAGAATACAGTCAATTGTTTGGTTTTTATCAGTGAAGATTAGTAATTTTTATCTTCTTAGCTGGCTTTAGGCATCCCTAGCGTAAATTTAATAAGTATATATTAACTTTTGTAATGAACTATGGGGAATAGAACAGAATATTTCAGTTGGAAGGGACCTACAATTGTCATCTAGTCCAACTGCCTGACCAGTTCGGGGCTGACCAAAAGTTAAAGTATGTTATTAAGGGCATTGTCCAAATGCCTCTTAAACACTGACAGGCTTGGGGCATCAACCACCTCTCTAGGAAGCCTGTTCCAGTGTTTGACCAACCCTCTCCGTAAAGAAACATCTCCTAATGTCCAGTCTAAACCTCCCCTGGCGCAGCTTTGAACCATTCCCACACATCCTGTCACTGGATCCCAGGGAGAAGAGATCAGCACCTCCCTCTCCCCTTTCCCTCCTGGGGTAGGCTCCTTTCAGAGAGCTGTAAAAGACAAGTCTGCCAGTTTTTAACTGTATGTGAGGGAGAATGGACTTTAAAGTCTCTTTGTCTGAAAATATCCACTGTACCCAGATACTAAACACTGCACTTTTTTCCCTTCAGCACATCATATAGGGGAAGCCTTTCCTAAACAACAGATTTTGAACACTCTTGAGGTACTAATGTTAGGCAGCACAAATCCTGACTTTTCCTTTCAGCTTGTAAGCTCCACTCTCTTTTTTTTTTTTTCCCTCTGCTTAATGTTTCCCTGTTAATCACAAGTGGGGAAGAAAATGAGTATTTAAAATCTACTGTCTATACTTTATTTCTAAAGTATACACATGTATTTTGAAGTATAAATACTGTTTTTATTATTGTCCTGAGAATGGTTTTGTGCATGTTTTTTCATGCACAATGTTGTTTTAAGTTTTCATTTTCATTATTTGAAAAAATAATTAAAGTGTTCTTATTGAAATGCTAAAATGCAGAAGTCGTTGACACAAAATATTCATTGACATTTTAATTTAATACTACTTTGTTCTAGCTCCCTCAGTGAATTGGAAGACTATCTTCAGCCAAATAAGGCAGTACTGTATACTTGGGCGGACCCAGCAGGATCTAGAAAATTGAAATGGAAATGTGGAAATAGAACTGAGGAAATTACCCCAAAAGAGGTATATTTATTATCTAAATCTCCTTTTAATGCTGTCTAATTTATTATCCTGTTCATCAGTGTATGTATGAAATTCCATATGTAATGAGTATGATCAGCAATCTCACATACGAGGTTCAAACACAGAACAGTAACAACACTGTTTGCTGGAGCTTGTGCCAATAAGCACGGTCTTCAGTTCAAAAGCATGTGTGTGTGAGAGAGAGTGCTGTAAAACTTCATAATTAAAAATTTTATTATTTTCCTGTACCTTTAAAAAAATGTCTTTTATTGTTGTTCATGTTGCTAAGATTTTTGCATTTGCTTGTGGAGTAGAATGATGAATAGAGTGGTAAAAACTTTTCCTCTCTTGTTCGTAGGACAAAATGGAAATACTCAGCCTGGATTGTAGAAAAGTGGTCTATTTAGTGTCATTTTTTGAAGGTTTGCAGCGTATTGTCCTGATCACTGAAGATGAGAATGTATTTCAATTGACATATGAAAGTGTAAAAGCAGAACTAGCAGAACAAGAAATTGTTCTGTCATTGCAAGATGTTGGAATTTCGTTGGTTAATAATTATACAAAACAAGAGGTATCCTACATTGGGATTACAAGGTAACTTATTTTGTGTGCAACAGTCTAAAATGTTTAACTTCAGGTATTTTCACTCACTGAATTTCATTTTGGGATGCAATGGAAGAAGAAAAAGAGGTCTGGATGAGAGTATTTAGAACTAAATCATTATGTTTTCCTGTTGTAAAGAGAAGTGTCTTCACCGTGTCTTACATTAATGCATACGCTTTCTGTATTTGGGTATATGTGGTTTTGCAACGCATAGTTGTAACTCCGTGCAGCAAACTTCCCAATACATTGAGCAGATGTATTTCCTGTTCATGTAGTTTGGGGAGTGATAATAGAGTTTTAAGGAGTAGGGTCTGTGGGTAGTTTGTGTCAGTGGATTTTTCTAGCTTCATTACAGAAACAAGTTTCAGAATTCTGTGTTGAAAATCTTGATGCAGTAACATCTTGCAGTTCTTTTTAGTTTTGATTGAGAAATGGTGGTGACTCCAAGGCTCTAATACTTTAGATTTTCTTCTATAACATTTCAGAGGGAAGCAGAAAAGAAACTATGTAATGCTTAAAAATGTGTGCTATAATATATTAAACATGGGCTTTTTAGAATGCTCAGGGGACACTTGTATATCCTTGCCATAATCCACACACTTCTGTATATTCATAGCCATGAGGTTGCTAGAGTGAGGGTTTTTTCTCTTGGTTAATTCTTTGCACTGCACTGCAAAACAAACAAGCAACAACTTCACATACATGTGTACTTCACGTATTCACATCTATCATTCACAAAGAATCCAATCCTTGCCCTCACCTGAGAAACTGAGCTCTGATAACTATCTAGACAGTGGAAAGACTCCATTAAAAGTGGCTGCTAATTGCCTAGATTCAAAGTAGCATTGAGATTTCACTGAATCAGTGTTTTCTGGAAGCAGTCATCCATAGTCAGTAGTCTAGCAGTGCTTATAGTTGGTATTGTTTTCTTGTTAAACCTGGGGTGGATGTCAAACTCCTGAAAGCTCTTTCTGAGGATAAGAGATTATTCCTTGGTGAAGAAAACCCTATTATTCAGAATGTTCCCATCTGTGAATGTCGTCTTATAAAAAGAACAGAAAAGGCAGTTTTGTATCTAACTTGCATGGTGAAACTTGTTTCTGCATCCAGTTCTGGGATCACAGCACATTCAGGAAGGGGGGGGAAAAAAAGGAAAAAAAAAAAAAAAAAAGGGAGGGGGTGGAAAGGGAGAACTCCCAGCAATTTCAAGGTAGTACTCTATTTTGTAGTTGTTGTTTTGCCTTTTAGCTCAGCTTTTTTTTTTTCGTGGTTCTGCCATTCATGTACCCGAACACAGACACAGTTATAGCTAAACCGGATTGGATTAGGGCGCTGTGTCTGGAAAGCTATGTATTTGTGGGCTATAGAGCAACTTGTGGAACGAAGAAATGCCCTCCACCTGTCTGATGGTGTTGGTTTGTGCCCTATCATGTGCCTTCAGTTTGACTGTAAGGTGAAATCAGACATGAGAAGTTCTCACAGAAGCAGTGGAATTAAGCAGAAAACAGTCCAGTGCCCTGTAAGGATGATTAGTTATTTTGTTGTTTTATTAATAATAAAAGTAAGAGACAAAGGAAGAGAACTGATTTTGGGATACCATTTAAAAAAAACAAAACAAAAACGAAACAAAACCAAAAACCCCTACCATAAAATCAGTAGAGGAAACATGTAAACGAAAATCACCATCTCTTGATTTAGACAGAAAGAGTGAAGAAACGAGCTGTCAAAAATACGAGGCAGTTCAGGAGGCATTTCATCTTGACTTGAAGTTCTCAATTTCTAGTAAATTCAGCTATGCCAAAATACTTGCAGGAGTATATGCAGAAAACTACATTGAGATTGTAGAATAATGGATGGCAGTACTGTTGAAACTGAGCTTCCTGATTAAATATCCTTACATACCCATCTTCATTAAAGCGGGGAGTTGCACAGACTTGCTGTTAACTTTTCTTTTTTGCATTACATTGGAGAGACTGGCTTCCACTTAGTACCAAGAAGGCAGTGGGTGATTTGGGTCACTTTTATTTAGTATAGTAGTGCTTTATGATGTGTTTTTTCATTTCGTAGTTACAACCTATTAAAAGCCATACCACAGGCAGTAAAACTTGTTTTGAAATAGCTAATGCTTCTCTCTTGGTCCTTTGTTTTGTTTTCAAAGTTCTGATGTGGTTTGGGAGACAAAACCCAAGAAGAAGTCAAGATGGAGACCAATGAGTGTTAAGCAGACTGATAAATTAGAACAAGAATTCAAAGATTACAGTGAGTTAACTCCTTCAGAAAATAAGATCATTGAGTTGGAATCAAATGTTTTGGTAAGACTGATAGTTCTCTAATTCTATTGTTTACATTTATACACAGAAAAAGATGATGTATCAATTTTGCTATCTTTGAAGAAACTTCCAGTGAAAACAGATTTACCTAATCCATTTGAAAACCCTTCTTTTTTTCTGTCAAGAAAAAAAATTTTGGGGAAAAAAATCCTTAGACGTGTGAAAGCTTGCTATAGACTTTTTGTCGTTAGCCTCTATCTTTGAAATTGAAGTGTAACATTTTTGCAGGTCATGGGACTACATATGTATAAAGCTACAGTAAAGAAGCTTTGCATTTGGTTCATTTGTTATACTGAGGAGGTGGGCAGGGTGTTAGTTTTGGGTTGGCTGGTTTGTTTGTTTTACAAATACAAAATCTTGTCTTTTTCAAGTGCTTTATTGTGGGATAATTCAACTGTGTCATTCAACAAATGAATGACATTTGAAAAAACGATTCCAGAAATTATTCTGGAATGTAGAAGCACATTATGCTGTAAACGCTGCTGTCTTTGTTTGTAGATAGATTCTAGTTACTCATTAGAATTGTGTTGTAGGCAAATGAACGTGGTATAGGTAAATGAGCCAATTTTTATCTCAGTCGTAGACCATTATACTACTTTGCCTTTCCTCTAGAAAGCCATGTATTAAACTCTAGTAATCTCCCAAATAATGCAATATTTTGTAGTTTTACTTCTGTTGAAATTTATGACAAAATTTGATTGTTTTAAATAAAGGAAAGTTTTGGCATCTGTCTTAAAAGCTGCAGAACTTTTACTGCTAAGCTATCTTTATAATGTTAATGAACAGTGTAAATTTTAAAGTATATTATAAAAAGCAGTCTTTTGAAACACATAGTGTACCAAATTTTCTTTAATAATACAATAGGTGTGTTTAACTCCTAACGGAATGAACATGAAAATTCAACAACCAAATGAGATTCCTATAAGAAGGAATTATCTGCCAGCTTTAAAAGTAGAATACAGTTCATCTGCACATCAGAAGTCTTTCAGAATTCAAATTTACAGGATACAGGTGAGTCTTGTCAAAAAAACAGTGAGTTATTTATTAAGAAAAAGCAAATTTTATGGAAACTTGGATTTATTTTTAGAATTGTGTGGATTTGTCATGTTTTGAATTTAATTGTACTCATTGGCTTTTACATCAGTGCTTCTCAGTCTTCAGAAATACTACTTAAATGTTTCTGGAAAAAAACCCAGACAACTGTGACTGTTCAGGAAAAATGTTTACCGTTCATCTTCCATGCTTTTTCATGTGGCTTTTCTTTACAATCAACAAAAAAATAGGTACAATTTGTTGTCTTGCATATGTTCAAGTTTTTAAAAATAAATCCTTTGCAAAAATTCTGTGGACCATTTATTACCACCAACTTAGAGAAGCTTTTCTAGACTATTTGGATTGGATTATTTCATTTTGAAAATAGGTATATTTTGAACTACAATAGCAGCTTTTTTTTCTGCTTTTGAATTGGTGGAATGCTACAGGTAATGTTCATAATTCTTGTTTGTTCTGATTTTAAAATATTTCACTATTGAAAAGCTAATGTGCTGCACCTTGTCCTGTCCTTACCCCTATTAGATACAAAACCAGATTCCTGGAGCCATATTTCCCTTTGTGTTCTATCCTATTAAACCTCCAAAGTCCATCACCTTGGATTCAGGTTTGTTGTTCTAGTTTAACATAATCCTTACTTCTAAAATGACAAGATAACTTGCTTGTACTGAAGTTAACCATGTCACCTTTATCTGATGAAGTCTGTATAAGCTTACTAACTACAGATAACACAATTACCAATGCCAGAGATAGGGAAGCAGTTTTCTCTACAAAGAAGATATACACAAAACCATTTAAACAGTTAACAGTCAGAAGAAACAAGATTTCTTTCATCCATTGATATCATACCTTTTAAGCACATCTTTTTGACACACTAATTCAGTGTTCTTGGAGAGCGTTAACGTGAAAGTTACATTTGGATCAAGCTTAAAACGGGCTTTTGGCAGTTGCATTCAGACCACAACTAAAACTTAATGCTGACTAGTATAGGAGAAGAGTTGCCTGCTGAAAATAAGAAAAGATTAAATTGTTGCTTATCTTGATGGTAGTGAATCTAGTGCACCATTTCAGTATTACTTGCACTTGGAGTTCTGGGGCAGTGAGGATTCACTTTTCGTCTTTAGTAATTTGATTTTTCCCTGCTGCCCCAAATAACTTGTTTATCTTAATCATGTTGTTTATTTTTTTTCTTTGCTTGCATGCAATAGATGACCTAGTGACCTATCTGAAATAGTCTCAACTAATGAGAAAAGACATGTGCCAGTGCCAGTCTAAACTCAGAATTGCTATGTGAGGCACCATTTATAAGCTCTGTAGTTGGCAAATTGTATTTTGCCTGTTTTGTATGTAGCCTTCCGACTTCTCCATTGCTTGGAGCATAGAGCTCAATGTCAGTATACTATGTGATGAACTGCAGTCTTCCATTAACTCGTTCAGGGCAAAGTCACTTGGAAGACCAGAGTAATCTCAGGAGGGATTCTGGATTGAGACAAAGAATACTGCTTGTATTTTTGTACAGAAGCTAATAAGATGTCAGGTGTTTGTTCTACATATGATAAATTTCAAACTAGAGTGCATAAATCTGTGGAATTCTTCTCTGCTCAGTTTATATTTTTCTATCAGCCATTGGAAAATCTTACTCCATGACTAGGGAAACTATGTAAGTCTAAGATTATATCAATATTAATTTGCAGTTAAATGAAAATGGTACATTTTCAGAGATCAGTGAAATAGAATTTTGATGTTCCATTTCATCCTTGTCTTCCTTTCTGTTCCTGCTCTTTTCCCTGACTTAGTTGTTTGCCAGCCATATCCATTATATAATCCTAATTTACAGGATTGAGAAAATCCTGAACGTATGTGACATTTTCGTAATAAAATATAAAGGTATGTATATCATATAAAAATCTGTGCTGATCTCTTTTTATTTTACAACTTCATAGCACCAAAACCATTTACTGATGTCAGTATTGTCATGAGAACTGCAGGACATTCACAAATATCTCATATTAAGTAAGTATTTTGACATGTTCCATCTCTTTTGCTATTGATTGTTTAATCAAGCTTTAAAATTAAAATTATTATAGGGGCCAACATAATGCAAGATAATTTTACACCAACTCATTCTCAGAAAGATCAGAGCACTTAGAGATGGAAGGTCAGCCCCCTTTATTATCTACATAATTGCAAGTAAAGCAAGGATTTTTAAGTGTCTTTTAACGCAGATTTTTAGGGTTTTTTTAATTTAGAAAAAAACTATGTTTAATGGTGCTATATAAGTGTTAAACACTGCTACTTCATTAAAATAGTTCTGGTTACAGGAAATATGTTTATCTTACACCACTATGGGAAGCCACCTTTTCACCAGTAATGGCGAATCCCTCAAAAAAACCCCAAAAAACAAAAAACCAAAAAAGAAAGTACCTGAAGTCAATACATAAGTGGCCTAAATACCCTAGATTAAGTTTTACATGCTACACATTTTTATAAAACACCATAATAATTGTTGTTTGTTTCCTGTGTAGGTATTTCAAGGTCCTGATTCAAGAGATGGATCTCAGATTAGATCTTGGCTTCCTGTATGCACTAGTTGAATTCTTTACACAGACTGATGTGCCGAGTGACCAAGAGGTAGAAATCTCTTGTTGTTTAAAGATGAATAGATTTTTAAGTTTGTAATTATTCAACTTGTATTTAAAAAAAGAAAAAAACAGCTTGGTCTTCTGTGTCCATAACACTGGTTAATTAATATGAAGCTGTGGAGTTTTTAAGAGTTACCGTTGCCTGAGGCAAACAGTAAACTCTTTCCTTTATGCTCATCTTGCATGCTATGCAAAGAAGGCTTCAAAACCTTCTGAAAAAAATGAAACTAATGCTGTTGTAGACTCTTTGGTCTTACTAATGCCTGAGGGATTAGTTAATTTAGAACCCAAGACAGGAGGGAAGTGAAAATAATACTCTTTTTCTTAATGTACCTTATTTAAAAAAATTTAAAAAAAAAAACACCTAGGAAAATCTTGGCCAGGAAATCACTGAAACTTATCTGCCCATGAGAGCAGGAGAACATAAAAGCAATGGAGAGAGAGGTTGATTAGAAAGTGAAAGCGTCTTTTGTAATTTTATGCAAAATTATAAAATTGGAAGATGATGTAGTTGACATGTAGATACTAAGTGGAGAGGAGAGGGCAGTGCGAGGGAGTTGAATTACTGTACAGGGAGAATGAGAGGAGTTTGTACATAGGAACAGTAAAAATAAATTAAAACATAGTAATATGAAGTGCAAGGTAGTCTGCTTGGGGAATAATAATGAAAACTTCAGATACAAGCATAAAGCAACAGAGGAGCCAGAATTTCTTGGATTTGCCAAAGAAAACCGAAACAGATGATAAGCTGTATGGATACAGTGCAGTTCTGATGTATATTGGGCATGCTGTTCTTGTTAAGAGTATTGAAATTTGAATGTCAATACGCAACAAACTGAAAATAAATTATTTAGCAGAAAGTGTTTCGGTTTTCTCTGTATCTCAAAAATGCTGCTAGTGGAAAAATGAACCAAAAATACTTGCGTAAAAGATCTGCTTGGATGAGTAGAGCAAAAACATCTTTTTTGATGGGGCATTAAAAGGTATTGTCTTACTGTGGCAAGTGAAAAGTATGCTGGAAAGGCAACTTACTTTGCTTTTATTTCCCCATATCTAATCATCAGGGATTACACTAAAATAAGGAGAAAAGATTAAAAAGTTGCTCCAGTGTAGGTATAAATTGAAAATTAGAAGGACGTGTGGAGCAACAAGATAATTAATTTCTGGAATAACATTTCAAGCAAGATAGGAATCTTGTTAGAATTTTGTAAGTTTACAGCAGAATAAATTGATGTAAGAATTGTCTGCTGTGGGTTGTAGTTCAGTAGATATTTTCATCTAAGTAAATTTGCTACTCTTCCATGGTATAATGTATTAAATATACCCTCAGTTTCCTACTTTTGTTTCTTAGGCATATGGAGTTCTTTGTTTTGAATTTTAAAAATAAGATTCTGATTTTGGTGGGTTGTTTGTAGCTTGTTTTCTGGCCTGCAATAAAGAAAAACTAAATGTACTGTCCAGTTCACAGAACGCTTATGTGGTTACCTTGAATTTGGGGTTATCAGGCATGAAGATCTAGTTGATTCTTCCTAGTGCTGTCTTTCTTTCCTTTTGCTGTAATTTGAAGCCTGTGGGTTCTTTGCAGAGCTCTAGAGGCACCACAATTTTGGAAAAACTCACAAAACATATTAATTACTTATTGACTTAGGAACTCTTGTCTCTTGGTGGTAATGTAAATGTTAAGTAAAATTTTAACTTAAAGAATGGGATCCTCTCTCGTGAGAGGCACCTTTCTCTGAATCAAGACCTAAGCATGTGTTTCTGTATAGTCTTATTATATTATAAACTTTTGAAGCAGAACTGAGTAATGTGATTTTTTTAAAGGCTGGATGACTCCAGTTTTGCTAAACATCATAAGCTTAATTAAACATCTTTAAAAATACAAATGGTAAGAATGAGCAGTCTAATTATGACTTATGAAATATAAGGAAATTTGAAGGGTTCCTTAAACAAAGCAGACATTTAATGAGCATTGATAATGTTACTTTAGAATTGTTTCAGAAATGTTGTTGTATTTTCTTATGCAGGAATATGTGGTCTAAACTGGTGGTTCCTGGCAGTGTGTTAGGGCATACCGTCTATTACATCTGTTGATACCAGGTGTACCTGTGAATTCTAGATTACTGTGGTAGTTTGAAGAATTATGTTAATTTTCAATGCATGGTTGTGTAGTGGAAAAAATACATTGTTGTATTTTATCCTCTCTTTCTCCTACCAGTGGAAAGATGAATGATTTGAGATCAGGATTGTGAGCTGAATCACTGAATCCAGAGATTAGAGGAGGCCCTCTTCTGCACTTTCATTTTTAGTGGAATTGCAAGGCATGATTTTAGGATATGATCCCTACTTAGTATTTAGTGCCTTGACTGTTTTGCTTGTATAAGTAGCAAGGTGGTACCTGGGTTTACTATTCTGAAAGGACCTTTCACATTATTTTCAGTTACAACTTCATTTTCTTTGACTGGTTAAGTCTTTTCTGACTATAACTTTAGAATTGTTATTATTTAAAAATCTTAAAATGTTTTTGTACTTGGCCAATTCTTCAAAAGCTGTTGTAAAGGAACTCTTATCTTTTGAAGGAGAAAAGAGAAAAGGGCTAGGTGGAGGTCTTCTCAGAGTATGTATAAGTCTAGTTTCTATATGACAGAAAATAGTCTTCAGTCTAGTTTTTTGTATTTAAAAACCTATGCGCTATATTATGTGTTCAAAAGGGTATGTACGTATGCCCTTTGTTTGACCCAGATAAAAATTGGCCAAACTTCACTTGAAAATATTTGGTATTTGAACTTTTATAAAAACAGATTTTTTTTTTTTTTAACTATTAAATAGATGTATCTTGGATTGTCTTTTTATACATACGTTTCCTCCTCTTAATGTAAAAAAGGCAGCAAACAAACTCTAGTTAAAAGTCATCTAAAATGGCGACTCTTTAAGTAAAAAAATAAGATCAGGAGAGTATAAGTAGTATTAGTCAATGGATTGCATCTCAGTGACAAATGCATGGTAGATTTATATACTCTAAATTTTAAAGTAATATTTTTGAAAATGCATTCACAGCTAGAACTTTTCAAAAAGGATGTGGAATCTCTTCAAGAAGAACTGATGAGTGTGTCATCAATGGATACGTCACAAATCAGCTTGTATGAATACTTTCATATCTCTCCAATTAAGGTATACCTTTTTCACAGTGTACAGCCTGTGTTTGCTCTCTAACTGAAGAATTTTTGTCTCCTGCAGGATAGTAGGCACTGGAAATGAAAAAACATAGAGGTGATCAAAAATAAAATAAAAATGTCCTGGAAAAGTGCTTTCATTGTTACCGTTAACTTATATGGGGTTTACATTACTATTTATTAAATATTGACATAAAAAGTTCATTATTTCATTCCTATCCATGACTTTCTTCAAATACAGTAATTCTTTTTATTATTTAAGAGATCCTTGCAAAATGCTATAGTTTGTGTGCAGACAGTGAGGTGTGGGTTGAGGAATGAGGTCATTTCTAAAAAACGTATACAGCCAGTATTACTGTGCAATGAAATTTTCTGCTTTATCGTTACTTACTGGAAAAGCAGTTTTGTTGTTTGACTCCAGTAAAGTCTACTTTTGGCTTTTTCCCCATTCCCCTAAACATCCAGGTACAGCTGTTGAATAGTATGTGCATACTTAAACGGAAATAACAGCCTGTTTGCCCGAATCTAACGCATGCATTTTTAGCTTACTGGTCTTCATTTTTTGATTATTGCATAGCTGACATTGTTAAAGCTGTGATGGTACTTTGTAGGCCCTATAACAGTTCTTTGTGAGAGAATCTCCCCTCCATCCCCTGGGAAATAGATCAAAGAACTATTTACAATGTCTGATGAGATGTTAGAAACAGTCTGCTATTAGAACAGGTAATTCCAGGAAATGCTTGGCTAGCTTTATGTAAACAGCTTAGCCTAACTCATTCCAACTATATTTAGTAGCTGTTTCAGTGTATCTTCATTTAGATGTTCATAGGTATGTCTCAGTTGTTTTATTACAAAAACTGCTCAGGACTTGACAAAAGCAAAATGCCTTTTATGTGTAAGATAACAAAATGAACACTTTGTTACAAAGTAATCAAAAGCTTTTTTTTGAATGTGTTCTGTCATATTTGACAAGAAAAATTATGCGGAGGGGATAGGATGGAATAAGTGGGCTTCAGGTTCTAATAAAAGATTAGTCTTTAACAGTTATGAGGTCAATATAGAGCTGTGACTTAAGTGACAATGATTCTGCAAGACAAGCTATGTGTCTTTGAAATGAGCTATAGTTAAGCTCTGTTATACCATAAATTAATGAATGGCACATGGTGTTGTTTTCAGAGAATCAGAAACAGGCATAACTTCTCTTCATCTGATTTTGAAAACTGCTGGAACTACACTTGTGCACTATAGAGCCCTTTGAGCAATTTTCTTGAATGTTTCTCTGTTTTGAGATTGTCACCTTAGTTTCTGTGAAACAAATACTTCGGTTAATTCAGGTCTGCACAGGTGGCATTTTTCTTATATATATATTCCAGTGTTTACCTAACACCTGTAAAACGTGTGTTAATAATTATTTGTTTTCAGGCCTTTGTTTCTCATTCTTGCTTGGACACCATGCTATGTTATCATTTTCAGTTTGCTTTGATATTGGGTATTAGTTAGAGAAACAAAATGTTTTGGAAACAAGCTAATAACCTAAATTATAGCTAAAAAATTCTGGAGACCTTCTCTGAAAACGTGACTAAGCAACTTCAAGTTCTTGTTTTCTTAAAGGTAGTTCCAGTTACTCAGTTTGACTTTAAATGTCAATGGGTTTTTTTTATTGCCCTATGTGACATATTTATGTTCTCTGTTATGAAGTCAGTCTGATTTCAGTCATGATTAGAAATGTCTTATCTCAATTTTTAAATCACCTAAAAGATTATAAAGATAGAAATATAATAGTTCTAGTAACCAACTATGTTATTTTCCAATCTCATTTTTATCCTTTAGTTACACTTAAGCTTTTCACTCAGTACGGGTGGAGAAGATAGTAACAAAGAAGAAAGAAAGAATGAATTGATACCACTTCAGTCTTTGAATCTCCTTCTGAAGAGTATAGGGGCCACCCTCACAGATGTACAAGATGTTGTCTTTAAGTAAGTTAAAAATACGGTTGTAAAGATTACTTCCAAAGATTAAACCAATGTTATGTATATTAGACTTTATTTTGCTCTGCATAATAAGGACTTACTTTTTCCCTTTGCTTTTTTTTTAGGTTGGCATTCTTTGAACTCAACTATCACTTCTGTACTACACAACAGCTCCAATCAGCAGTTGTAAGGCATTATTCAAAACAGGTTAGAATAAGTACATTTCAATATTTCAGTAAAATTATATTTTGAAAGCACTACTGTGCGCTTTGGTTCTATGAAAATAAATAAAATTACTTTCAGCCTTGTATGTTTCTAGAGAGGTTAAATACATAAACACATACAAAACAATTACTCATTAGTTGGATTCTATTGCCTTTATTTTGGGGGCAAGTACCGTTTCCAAATTACGAGTAGAGGAAAAGTGGCATGGATAACAAAACAACTTGCTGGAATGGATAGTGGAAGGAAACACAGCTCTGATAGAGCAGAATTGGTATAAAAATATTAATGCTTTTTCTTGGACATTAGTAGTGTATGAATTATGATCCCTCTTTGGCCTTTGTGTACTGTTCAGGTCCTGTCGTCCAGTGAAGAGAATCCAGCAGACATGCTTTTGCATAAAAGAATTAGTCCTCTTCTATCCACCCATCATTAATAATAAGGGATTCTTTGGACATACTAATTTAGTGGTCTGTCCATCTTTAAAGGAGAAAAAAACCTATACAGGGTTTTAATTGGGGAAAAGAGTTGTCTGTTGTTCTCTGACCCTTCATTTTCCCAGAGGGAAAATTTGAAATCTCCTAGGAGACGCTCAGCCTTTTTTTAAAATCGAATTACACTTCATATACATGTAGTTACAACGTTTTGCAGTGACAATCAACAAAATTTTCTCAGCATATGCAAACAGACCAAATTTTGTTCTGTAGTATGAGAGAATTCTAGGTAATGTGCTTGCTTTGTAAAATCTCAAGAACGTTAATGTCAGTTATTTGTGAAATGCTTGTAAGAAGTAACATTTATTTGGCTGACTTAATATGATTTACCAACCGTAAGATCCTTTTTAATACTACTACTTCTACTTTTCCAAATAATTTTGCGGTTTTTATATTAAACTCATGTTGCTTTCACTTTTTTTTAATCTGGGTATACTACACTGTCTTTGTTTTAGTGTAATTTCTGAAATATTTTTACTAATAACTATTTTTATTTTAGGCTATTAAACAGATGTATGTTCTTATTCTTGGTCTTGATGTCTTGGGTAATCCATTTGGATTCATAAGAGGCTTGTCTGAAGGAGTAGAAGCATTCTTCTATGAACCTTACCAGGTAAAAATCTCTGTTGCCTTCTTATGAAATGTAGCACAAGTATATAGATATGAGTTATATACAAAATGTGGAAATATCAATACCTTTTTTGGTTTTAAATTTAGATTTAGAATTTAAAATTTAAAGTGAAAGTGTCAGGAAAAGTTACTGGAAAACTCAAGTGAGATAAAAAGGAGAGGGTAGTCCATTTAACTTAATTCACAAAAGACTGTTCCTTACAGTTCTTATTTTAAAAGTAATCTGCTTTTTTTCCATTTGCCTTAAAATAAGCAGACTTCAGGGAATGAGTAGGTATTCTAAAATAGTCTTTCTTTCTCTCGCAGGTGCTCTCATGGGCACTTTCACACTTCGTCATTCGGTGTTGTGGTCTTGTTCTCTTTGTTATATATAAATCCCAATAAAAATGTTAGATTTAAAAATATGTAATGCATCGTATTTGAAGCTTAACATAAATGTGTCCTTTTTTTCCTCAGGGAGCCATCCAGGGTCCTGAAGAATTTATAGAAGGAATGGCACTAGGGCTTAAAGCACTAGTAGGGGGAGCTGTTGGTAAGTTTCAGTGTTATCACAGTAGTATACTTACTATTAAGTAATATAGGTGAGTATTTGTAAATTGCATTGTAATTTTACTTTGTTTTATTTTCCAAATAGGTGGATTAGCTGGTGCTGCATCAAGAATCACTGGTGCTATGGCAAAAGGAGTAGCTGCGATAACAATGGATGAGGATTACCAGCAGAAAAGGAGAGAAGCCATGAATAAACAGCCCACTGGTCTGAGAGAGGGTATCACTCGTGGCGGAAAAGGACTAGTTTCTGTAAGGAGAAAAAAAAATTATAAAAAGATTAATGGACTTTACCCTTTATGCAGACAAAGCTAACAAATATAGAGGCTGCCATAGTCATCAGAGAGTTGTTACTCTTTATTTTAATCCTGGTTTTGCAAATATATGGCCACAATTGAGTGATAGTTTTAAAGAAAAATATATGAGTGTAGAAGCGAAGGTAGGAACTGTGAAGCAGGTGCCTCCAATTCTGTTAACTTGTAGTGAATTTTAGAATATTCCAACACGTGTACTTGGAGGCTATTCACCAATGAAGTAGTAAGAAAAATGTAAAACATGAAAAATATAATCTGAAAGCATATTTGTAATGTCTCTTTTTTTTCACTTGGTAGGGTTTTGTCAGTGGCATAACAGGAATAGTTACAAAACCAATAAGAGGTAAGCTTAGGTTTTCTGATGCATTAAGAGTTCATATGATGGTAAATTCTTGATAATTGATGAGACATTATAAATCTGAGTTATAAAACTTTTAATAAAAAGATTTTATATTCCTACTGACTTTTAGTTTAAATGTTGTTTACATGAACTTTTTATGGAGAAGACTATGTAGTTGCGTATCAAGTAAGATTTGTAATTAAATGGTAATTAAGTTTGCTAAGATTGTAAGAAAAACTAAAAGTGTTTTATAATGATTTGCTGCACTTAATCCTTGTAGGAGCTCAGAAAGAAGGAGCAGCTGGCTTTTTCAAAGGTGTTGGAAAAGGCTTAGTGGGAGCAGTAGCTAGGCCTACTGGAGGAATCATAGACATGGCAAGCAGCACATTTCAGGGTATTAAAAAGTAAGTAAAATAAGTGTGAAGAATGACATGGCATGAAAGAGACAATACTAGTAGCAGTACTACATTGTGTCTTTGTATCACTTCTGTGTCAGTGTTTCTGGATCTCTCATTAATAGGGACGAGCTAGAAAAAATCTTATCCATATTGTTATTTATGTAATAAATAGATAGCTCTTTAAAAAATACACAGTTGATAGCATTTAAAAACCACAACATCAGATCTCAGGTATTTTTAGCATTACCGAAGAAAATAGTTTAAAAGTCTTAGCAATCAGACTTCCTTCAATTGCTGATTTTTTTCCTTTTACTCCAAATATACAGGGACAAAGGACTTCTCAGCTGCATCAAAAGTTACTTTTTATATTATTATTACGATATGAGATGAGTTCCAACACTACCAGGTCATGCCAGGATCTGTCCTGGTTGTTCAGACTGAGAACTATGTTAGGACTTCATATTGAATATTGTGATAGTCTCACTTTAATAAACCTGTTGCTGTAGATTATCTCACACTGCAATGTGTAAAGAAGTAAGCGTTTTGAGGGGGCATTTAGTAGCTTCGTCTGAATACAGCTGTTTAATGGCCCTGTTCTTCTTAGCGAGCTGGACCACTTTTGCTGCCATAAGATTGCCAGTCTCTTTTGTATTTCCACTTTAAGTTCTTTAGCAGAGAAATGCAAGAAAAATACCAGAGCAGAAGTTCTGTATGGCACAGATGTCTTTAATTTTGAAGTTTTGAAGTACAGTACTTAGACACTAGTGAAGTAGTGCAGGTGTGTGCTGCCCTGTGCTATCTAATTTTCTAATAATCATTCTCTGAAATAGATTTCTGAGTAAAATCTATTACTGTTTCATAGAATACCTACTCAGTGTCTCCTCATATGCAAAAGCATGTATATAGACAACAACAGTTGCTGTGCTGTACTTGAATTTGATTTGTATTTAAAATAATTTAGAGCCTTTGCTAAATACTATGGCTGAGTAGAGATATTGACACATACCTTAAATTTGCCGCTTTATTGTCAGAGTTGCAGATTCATCAGAAGATGTGATAAGCCTGCGCCCACCTCGCTTCTTTGGTGAAGATGGAGTTATTAGACCTTACAGATTAAGAGATGGAACCGGAAGTCAAATGTTACAGGTGAAGAAAAAGAAAGATAATTTGACATACATTTTAACTCATCATACGTTCAAATAAATATTTTACAGAATTTCCCATTTCTTAAATTCCCTACCACCCCTTACCTAGTAACTCAGTCGTCAAGAAGTTCCATTTAATTTCATAGGCTTATGACTACTTTGGTAATTTAGTTTCTGTGATACAACTTTTGAGAAAGACACCGTAATTTATACCAGTATATCTGTAGAGGTTGTGCAAGATACAGAGCATTTTGAAAGAAGAAAAACGTTTGTATGTGCAATTAAAAAGGTTTGTCTTTAATTTTTATTTTTTATAAACAGTGATGATAAACACAAAGATACTTTTTTAGTAGTTTTATAATACACATTTTAAACAGTGACATTTTATCCTCAATTTTATGTAAAACAGCATGTTAAACACGCTTAAAATAGCTGTATTTTTCATACTACAGCCATTGAAAGAACATAAACAGTTTTGAAGTGGAATAATGTTTGTATGAAGAACATGCTGAGCAGCACTTATTCTTTAATAATTCAGCTGCCATTTAAGCAAATTTGACTCAAATATCAAAGTGGAATTCATTTCAACTGTTATGCAGCTTACAAAGTTCCTATTTTTTCTCTGTTAGAAGTGAAATTGCATTTTAGAAATATTCAAACATAAGAAATAAAGTAGTAATTAGTGATTGCATGAATGTAAACAGACTTTTTAAAATACACATTGAAGGATTCACAGCGTGCCAGGGGAAATGTTGGACAAATCATACAGAAATACCCTTTTTGGAGAAGTAGATAAGAACAAAGTAGCCTTTGGAGAGGATTTTTAGACTATTTTGAGAATTGCCACAGCTGTTTGTTTCATGTCGAGTTCCAATCTGATTGTTTCTGTTTCTTCTGCATTTCATTAGTGTGTCTTGTTTTCTGGTAGAAGAGGATTGTTCTATTTGGGGCATCTCAGCTATGGTCGCCATACCATTCACTGGTGATCTAGTTCAGGCGACTGTGAAAGTTCTTTGATATTAAATAGTATGCCTCTGCCTTCCTTTTAATGAGGTAGCTTTAACCTGTGCTCTCCAATTTAAAGCTAGTGTTATAAAGCAGTATTACCTTAACTAGAGCATAGATAGAAGCTCCTACTGGTGAACGACATAAACTTATTTTCTAATCTTTCTCCTTTTTTTGGTAAGAAAATGAATTTCAAAACACCCCCTTTTCTGTTTTAAAGTGTACCACTAAAACAAATGCCAGCCAACAGAGTCAGCTCTAATGTGCAGACTTCTTTAATGACTTTGCATTGCTTTTGGTTCTTACATTTGTACATGTTTGCATTTTGTTTTTTTTTCCCTGAGAAATCTTCAAAAAATTCTGCAATGTAATATGTAATTCTCATTTGTCTCTGTTGTGTGGTTGAGTACAATACCACTACCTTCCATTATCCAACTTGTAGTAGCATGAAGGCATTGACTTGTGTAATGCTTGTCATATTTTGTGACGGCAGCCACTATTTGAAAGTAGCTAAAGTTGAAAAATTGTATGTTTCATATTAGTTTTCACTACTGGTGATTCTAAGGTAGAATTACTCTTGAAGAAATGTTTTGAAAACTCCAAACAGGGCTGTAGTTCTTCCTGTAGACAGTCAAATCAGAAAATAATGAATTGCGTAATTTTTTTTTTTCAGACATTAATTTCTGGTATAGTATGTTTGATGTCTTAATCTTATTTTACCCCCAAGTGTACTAATGTTTTTGGTTCTTAATGTTTCTGGATTTAGAGATATTTCCTTGTTTTCCAGGAGACTCAGTGTATTACATGTCCCCTATCTGAAGCAGTTTGAATAGCATAATATTATCTTATGGGGAAAAAAAGATTATTCTCCCCTTTTGTATTATTTCTGTGCATACAGCTCTGATGACTGGCCCCACTGCAGTCACTGTGTTGTAGCATTTTCAACGGATTACTGGATTAAATTGGAATAAAACTTCTAGTGATTTAGAGATTGTATGTGCTAATTAAAGGAAATAAGATATAGGTGATTTTGTGTACTCATACTGTGTCCTAAATTAGGATGTCACTTCAGAATTTCTTTGTTTTCTGGGGTTTTATTTTGCTTTAATTAACAAATTTGCCAGACAAACTATTACTTCTAAACTAATACTTCTGCTTTCTTCTTCCCTTACCATGCTTTCAGAAAAGACAGGCCTACAGGGAATGGACTAAGACTCACAATAGTAGTGATGATGATGACAGTTAGGATAATATGGACTGTAACAGATATACATGGCCTTTGTCACGTTCTTTTGACCTTTAAGTATTAAATGTTGCTGCTATAATTTCCACTGAGAAGTTGGGGTTGTCTGATATTAAATTCTCATTTTTAAAACTGTGCAAAAAAATGTGGGGAAATAAACTGTATGATGATGAGTGCTAGGCAAAGGAGCAAAGAATATAATAAAAATAGTCTTATAGATAAAACTGGATATTAGGTGAAAATAGTATTGAATAATATGAAGAAATAGTAATACCGTGACTTAGAGTTTATTTCCAGATGTGTTTCTATCGAGTGTATTTTTTGCATTTACAGAAGTGTTTGACAGGTTTTATTTATAATTTGCTATATGGAATGCTTTTAAGTGTGTTTAGTAAAACTTAACCGAGTTGTACAGTCATTATTGGTGTTAAAATGCTGTTTGACTGTTTTATTTATTTCATATTTCAAAAGCATTTTGTCTGCTTTTCTTTTTAACAATAAACACGTCTAAAGTATATCTAAAATGGATTCATCTGTTCTGTTCCAACATTGTTTCTCATGTTTCCTGGAACTAGATTATGCAAAAACACTAAATGGGCTATGAAAGTATTTAAAAGATAAAATACATATATTTTGAAAGGAACATTTAACATAAACCTTTACTTTTTCATTTATAATTTCTTTTACCATAACTTTTAAACACTTATTTTGTGTATCCTTTGTAATCCTTAGATGTGTGAAATAACGGTTTATTTAGTTTTTTTTTTATTTTAACGATAAATTATTTGGTTCTTAAATCAATATTTTTATTGTTTTCATAGCAACGAAAAAAACCTAAAAAGGTCACCCAAGAACTAAACCCTGTGTAAAATCACAGACAGCTGGAGAAAATACCAATACTTTTACAAGGCTCTGTGTAGTAAAACATATGTAACATGCAAAAGTATTTAGTTTTTTATTTACCTAGACATGGGGGAAAAAAAATAACACCACCGAGCCACTATAATTCTGTATTTTAAGTTCAACAATATAGCTTTACCAAGTGACTTGTTTCTTTAAAAATTGTTTTATTCAGTATTCACTGGAATGCTTGCACCGTTTTCTCATTCTTTTTTGTGGTTTGTTGCTAAATTTAGATTTTTTGTGTTGCACTTTAAAGACGTCTTGCAATAGATATTTATGTATCAGTAAGTACAGTAGTAAGAATTAACTCTTCTGCCAACATCTAAAGAATTAGAATTGCTCTAAAGCAAAAAGACTTTCTGAAATGTTTGCATATTTACTAAAGGTGATGTCATGTCCTTCATTGTTGTCTTCCAGTTAGCAAAATTCTGAGGGAAGAACCATTAAAATCCGTAAGACGGCTTATTCTGGCTCTGTGCCTTCAAAAGCGGCTGTACAGTCTGATCTCTTGGGCAATGAGCCAGGGAGTGCATGCCTGTAATCTCCCAGATAAGAGGGGACAAACTCAACTTGAGAGCTTGCTCAAGCTGAAACTACTGGTGCTTAAGATTGCTGCAGATCATGTATTGCTGCTTATTTTGTAATACTGTAATTTCAAAAGGATGTCTTGCAGAAGTAGTTGAAACACTGTATTGCGATGTGTTACTGGCTGAAACAATGTGGGAAGAGTTTTCAGTATTTCAGATACAAATGGATCTCAGGTATTTCTTTGAAGAATGTAGGAAATTATTTTGATCTTCAATCCTGAAAAAAAGACACGTCATGCCTAAAAGTTGAGGAAATTGTTAGGTACAACTTTATGGAAAGGTTACTGCTGCATTTTATTAATTGTACTGGGTTTTGAGAACTTTGAATATGTTACCTGACATTTTCTTTTTCCTTTTTGGCTTTTTAGTGCAATTTCTTTGTTATCCTATAAAATTTTGTTTTTCATCTGTAATGACCTGTCCTACAAGACAATGCATGTCATATTTTTGCAGCGATGCTTTTTCAGTCAAAAAAAGAATTTGATTTTTAGAAAGAATACATTTTTTCTATCAAATTGACCTAACCATTTTGGTTTTTTAACTTATAATTCTACAAATCATTACAGAATGTGGAAGTAAAATTTAGCATGAACAGTAGTACTTTTGGGTCAGATGTCACTAATTCAAGTTCCACTGCAATATAACTAAAGAGTTCTTTCTTTACTCAGTAGATTGAAAGGTTGTAGAATGCGAACAAAAACAAACAAACAAAACAAACCAAACAAAAAAAAACCCACCAAAAAAAAAGACTAAAAAAATTTGTCTCTATAGTTGGAAAATATGATTATATACCTTTGATTATTTTGTCATGGAGTACAGTTCTATTTTTGAAGTTTTTCTATTAATAAAAAATATATTCATTTTTTACAAGTATATTATTTGTTTCTGTCTTGAGTCTAGCTTCCTCTGAATATACATTGGGAAAAGAAATAATTTGGATTTAGGATAACAAAAAAATGTATCATTTGGGATGTCAGGATTTAATTTCTCTCTAAGTCACGGAACCAAAACCTGTGAAAAGTATGATAGCTAACCAGCCGAAACTGATGCTCTTTAAGGCACCAAAAATGCAAAAAAAAAAAAAAAAAAAAAAAAAATTTAGATATTATTTTCTTTAGGCATTTAAGGTAACATACGAAAAAATAGAGACCATATTTTCAAATGCCTTTTTTTTTTCCCCTTCAGTTTAATATATTTTAATAGTTTAACTTCTGGCTGCACAATTTTTTTCCCCCACTTTTTCACTGGTGAATTGAATTCTAA